CTGGGTCATGTGGCACAGTCCTTGGACTCCTGCTTAAACTTCCCACATTAAACTGACCTTGTGTCAAATTTGCTGTTAATGAGGCAGCAAATAAATAAAAGGATATACTTTGATGTCATAATGACATAATTGGTGACAATATTGAATTAACCAATAAAAAATTTTGTGGGTGTGGTCTGTCATTTTGATTGTTTCAGTTTAAAATTTATAGTTTGATGAATAATTAGTTTTATTTCTTAACATTTTTTACAATGTTAAGAAATAGAGACTTTGAACCATTTGAGTGATTTGGAAAAAGTAGTATCAGTGTCCATTTATGCTATCAGTAATAAAGAACAGAAACCTTTAATCAGGCAAATGATTCCTTTTCCTTAGAGTGTCAGGCATTTTAGTGACTTGAGGCTAGACCTAATACCAAGTGGAAGGGGCTAAATGAAATTTATTTATTTCCAATTTCAGGTATATAATAGACATAGGTCTATCTATATATTTCCATTTTTAATAACCCCACATATGGTCATAACATCTAAGATAAATAACAAAAAAAAAAAATTTCAATATTCTATGGACAGAAAAATATTTCATAATTAAAACACACAGTAATATTATGTGACTCATTTGTTGTAACATTCCCGTCTGCAAGGAATATATTTGTTGTAACATTCCCGTCTGCAAGGAATATATTAAGTGTCACTATGCTGGAGGAACAGTGGAGTAATGGATAGCAGCACAGATTGAGGAATTGGAGAGTTGAGTCCGAACTCCAATTGAATCCATTACATTCACTTAAGTGCTAATACCCTTAGGAAAGGTATGACTCTTCTTTCCCAGCTATGGGTAAATATAAGGACAGACTGAATTCTACAGCCTTGGACGGCAAATAGTCTACCTAAAAAAGAAATGGCAACCTACTGCAGGAAAAAAATCTGCCTCGTCAGTAATGTATCAAAAGATACACGATCGCCTAAGTGTATCTCATGCATGGCACATAACTGACTGATGCTGTCAAGCATCAATCAGAATATAAAAAATTAAATGAGGAAAAATAAAAATAGATGAATGAAGCAGTTAAGTTCTCAACAAAACATTCTCAAAAAATAAAAAAAATACAGAAGTTAACTATTTAATAGCTAAAAAATTGGCTTGGAAGAGCAAACTACTGATAGATGGTGTATTAATAAAAGAATGTATTGTAATTGCTTTTAATATTGTCCCAAGTGAAGTTATTCAATGAAACAAGTCTCACATCAGACAATGTCACAATTGGCAGAAGAATTGATGACACAGCTGATGGTATTGAGTACATTGCACACCCAATTATCTAAATGTTTATTAGTTTAGCACTGGATGAAAGTACCGATCAAAGTGACACTGAATAATTAGTTATTGTCATCAAAGGAAGTGATGTCAATTTCAATATAATTGAAGAAATGCTGAACTTATGCCACATGAAGAATACAACTGGCAGGGGGGATACTTGAGCACATTAATTATCAATTGAAAAGTTTAATATTGATAGAAATAAAATTTATTCTATTACAAAGGATGGGGCTCCTGCATTAATTGATGGATTTATTACTTTACTCAAAGAATTAGTTGATCATGATATGCTCAACTATCAATGCTTGATTTAACAGCTATTATGTGCTCAAAAGTTAATGAATCAGTTGATGACAGATATTGTGCAAGTTGTGAATTTTATCAGGTCTCAGGGCTTGGAAGAAGTTGACAGTAGGTATGAAGACATTCATTTCTCAAGTCAGATGGCTCAGTAAAGTAACAACTTTAAAAAGATTTCAATTGTTACCTGAAATAAGAGTTAATCAAAATAAGCAAAATGTAGATTTTTTTAGAAAACAAAGAATGGTTGAATGATCTTTCCTGAGTAGATATCACCGAAATGTTGTCTAAACTTAATTTGCATTTACAAGGAAAAGACCAGTTATGTTGCTCAATGTTTGATCGGTTAGGTTTTACTAAGTTACAACTTTTGATAATTGAAAGCCAGTGACGTTGTGCATTAAAAAAAAAAAAAAAAAAAAAAAAAATATGTGAAGTTTAGTTAAAAGACCAAATTTTCTGACCTCAGAAAAAATAGAAACTGAATTAAAATTGTCTAGTGATCCATTTTCATTTAATTGTGAAAACACCAACGCAAATACCAGCTAGATGTCATTGTGCTTCAGAGCAAGAAATCTTCAAACTTAGAGAACATTCCCTTGAATTTGATGAAGTTGTCAATTATCTAGAAAACCATTATGCATGTGGGATAGTACATATTCTTTTCATGCATGAAAAACATCAAAACTGCTGAAATAGGATGATCGAGCTTCATTTAACCAACATTCTTAAAATAAAGACTAGTACCATAAAAGCAGATATTGACAATATAAAAAGGAAAGTAATGTCAAAAGTTACATTGAATTGTGTCTTTGTTATTAAAATTTGATATTCATGTTCTCAACTTTGTAAAAGCATATTTATATGAAGTACTTTTGTGGCCCGGTGATATACCTAAATTGCTAATTTGGGCCATTAGGTGAAGAAAAAAAAAAAGGTTGAACACTGAATTATAGAAACTATTTCTGTAATTCTGTCTAATAAGAGGTACCCAAAATGCAAAAGTCCAGAAATCCATTAAAGAGGAAGAAAAAAAGTAAACCTTGCTGAACCCACCTTGCTGTGTGTGCATGGCGGTATATAGACTACTAAGCCAAGCAAATCATTTAAGAAACACCTTAGAGAAAGTGTCATATACTACAACTGCCTGATAAAATGCATAATTCACAAGACAGGAACAAATTCTTCCAGCATACATTTTGAAAGACTCGAAAAGCAAATACAAACTGAATTAGCAGTATTTACAGGAAACATTAAGTACAATTTAAAAAAAAATTTTCTAGTAGTAATTTGCATTTAAGAGTCCTGACTCCTAAAGAAAGCCATTCACACAAAATTAGAAGAATCCTTAAACGGAAAAGTACTTATTTTTTTCAACAAAAAAAAAAAAAAAAAAAAAAGTTAAATTTCATTTTTATTAAAAAGTAAATGTTGATCATTTAAGATATATGCAAATTTAGCATATTTAAAAAAAAAAAAAAAAAAAAAAAAAGTCAAATGCTGAAATTTTCACACTATTTTAAAAACATTAATCCAAAAGATATTTATAAATTTTATTTTTCTTGATAGTTGCCAATATTTTATTTATGTATAATAATAATTATATCTTGTCATCCAGCAGTTAGCTCAATCAACAAACTTGTGTTTGAAACTTAAAATTTAAATTTTACTCTAGTTCAAAAAGGCAGCTGAAGGAAAAAAGGACATTAAAATCACCATATTCCACATAAAGTGTTTTTCATTCATTTTAGTTTTTACATTTGAAAGTCAAATACACTTCTTTATGGAAGGAGCTGCATTCCCAGGCATCAAATGCACTAGAATAAACAATTCTTGGATATAGTAAATTTTAATGGATTTCACCACTTGAAGAGAACACACCTACAGCGGATAAGGTGCTACAATATATTACCATTCTTTTCTTCCACAGAAACAAAATATGAAAGGCCATTTACTCTTGTAAAAATTGGAGAATTGATACAAGATATCCTAGCATAGAAAGTAGAATGCAAACAATCTACCTTCATGGATGGAATAAAGTGCAATTCATAATTATCAAGTACGACACACCAGAAAGCACAATAGCCAAAAATGAGTAAGGCATAGGATAAACATTCTCCCTCTAAATACAAATTACCATTTTTATACCATAATAAAATTTAAAATAAGTCCATTGTGCCATATGAGAATCCAGTATATGGTCAATATACCCTAGGTTAGTCTTTCAAATAGTATTTATCAAACTATTATATTCAGAGACTTCAATGTAATCTGACCCTGGAGGAGGAGAGAAGGAATTTAACCCACCCTCAAATCAATTAAGAGAAATCCATGTTAAATTTTAAGAAATTTAGTTATTTAAACAAAGTCAAATTGTTTACAATCTGTTAGTAACATCATTTAAGAAACAGATATTTTTAGACTTCTTAGACATGTTAAAAGTTACATTTGAGAAAAAGAATAAAATACAATATTCTTTTAATTTAAATATTTTTATTGGAATTTCAACGTTCTACAGTATTTCAGTGTCAAGGTCAGTGAAGTGAAGACCTTATGCTTCAATAAACAAAAATAGATATTCCTGTCAAAATAAGTAGAGAAAATTCTAGAAACTAGTTTTTAGATATCAGTTTTTAAAATTCTCATAATCAAAAGATCCATATATTAATAGTTTACTTAATATCCAAGAAAATAGTTATATGACAGAGAGAGAGAGAGAGAGAGAGAGAGTGTGTGCGAATATTTAAAATTAAGTCATTTTATTGTTTTTTTTTGTTTTTTTTTTTAAATATAAAAGTCTTAGAAAAATAAACAAATATAAAATTAAGTGCTTCATAGTTATGGCAAGTATAAAAGACAAAATCAAGCTGAAGGCATTTTGAATTTATTGTCCATCAAAAGTTCAGAGGAATATCTTCAGGGGAGGAAGGGAGAGGAAACAATTCTTTGCATTTAGCAGCTCAAATACTAAATCTTTAAAAATGAAGTGAACACATTTTTATTTTTCTTTAAACCAGCAGAGAAATTGTTCCAATACTGCTAAAAATGGTTATAATTTCAAGACTTATGATTTTACCTTAAAATCAAAAAGCATTGTAATCATGTGCTAAATTTTCTTTCATTTTCCTTTACTGAATGCTTCTTAGTAACACAAAAAAGGTTACAGCCTTGCAAAAACTGAACCCACAGTAACAATACGCAAGGCAGATTGCATTCACCTCTTCAGACATTGTGATATGGAGCGCATGAGATTATATGTAGTTATAATATACAAAAACATTTCATGTGTGCAATGGAATCAAATGAGAGTGAAGATCTTTGCTCTCCTTGGGGGGGAAAAAAAGGGGAGGGGTTCAGGACCTCTTTGGTGCAAAGTTCTTTTAACTGTCTTGGTCTTCAATCTTGGGAGCCAAGTAGTACCGAATGTAACCCATGTCAGTAATTTTATATTCCACAACTGAAAGAAAAATAAAATAGGTCTTAATACAAGGTTTCAATGTTTTTCAATTTAATGTCAGAGTGGGGTAATAAAAAATTTTTTTTATTTAATCCTTACAAAAAAAAAAAAAAAAAAAAAAAAAAAGAAAAGGTACCTAATGCAAAACTACTCAAATAAAATACCCTCAAAAAGTTTAATTAATATGGACAGCTTCTCACTTATAAAATTAATTTGCAGCCAAAAATCAAAAGCATTTTTTTGAAAGATACTTGTAATTCAATATTTAAATGACTTATGGCTTTTAAAATCAAACATAGCATCCACCACAAACTTTGGTAATAATCCTAACAAAGACTAAACATTTAAATTATCATATTCCTTCTACAATAGTCACCATAAAATTTTGAAGTTCAAAGAGAGAAAACTCACCTAGTGGTACATCTTGTGACATAGAGAGTGTCACCTGTGCAGATAATGGAGTGGCTTTTGTGAAGAAATTAAGATACCGAAGGGCAAAGGTCAAACTAACAGCTTCATTCATTTGAATGACCACAGCTTCTTCCTCTTTGTCAACATTTGTGCTCTGAGCAAGTTTAATGTTTCCAGTTCCTAAATCTCCAGTAGATGAGAATGTGACACCTTCCTTTGTGCAAGCAATCATGACTGATTCACCAATCTGACTCAAGTCTCTGCAAATTCTTTGGAATTCAACTGAGGGCATTTTCACTACACAGCTGTACTCTGTTTCCTGTGTACAAGAAAATTAACAGAAAATGAGTATTTAAGGTTTTGCAGGGACAAAATGCTAAATCAGCATCATAATACACATGGGAATAAACTAAAGATCAGAGCATGAAAAAAAAATGCAGACATAAAAACAAATTTCTACTACATTACCTACAACCACATTACTTGAAGGCATAAATAAGTCTATAATAAATCTAAAACTTATTTCAAGTGCTAAAATTTACAACCAATATAAAAATGACACGATTTGAAGATCACCCAAGGTATGAAATTGATAGAAATCAATGTCATCACCACATACATCTATAAGTACTCTATATTTGATATTAAGCACTCCCTCCAGAAACAGCACATTTTAAATAATTATTCTTTAACTTCCAAATTAACTCTGGAAGATGAAATTTAAGTTGATAAATTTATAAATGAAGTTATACATTTAAAAGTTAGTTTTCCAATTCAAATTTAACACCACAGAATCTTTAGCCCTTTTTTTTCCTTTTAAATTGAAAAAATATATTTTAGAACCAGGTTTGTTTGACGAAGTACACATGCTCACATGAAATGATACCCCTTCCCAAGTCAAAAACCATAAAAATGTCAGAATCAAAACGATTGTTTCAGTAGAAATACCCAAAGCCAAAATTAAGCTTAAAAATACAATGTATAAAAGATAGTAATGTTATCCTTGGGTCAAACTGGAAAATAAATAATATTAATTACTCCTTAGCCTAGGAAAATGGAGTTATAGTTTCTCATACAATGAGAAAATATTAAAAAAATAAATAAATAAATACACACACGTGTGTGATATACTTACAGGAATGCCCAAATGCTCCGCATCCAAGTCTATTAATTTAATTTCATAATCAGAAACCCTTTCCTGATCTTAAAAAAATAAAAATAAAATAAAAATATATTGGCATTTCAAAATAATTGTGATTGATTAATAATGATGAGCCTTTTTTGAGCTTAGGAAAAAATTATTAACAGTTAAAATTTTTGTTATTAACGAAAGAACAAAGTTTTTATTTTTAGTATTTGATTAAATTTTTTTTTCTCGCATCGGAGAGAGTGAGGTAGAGTAGGGGGAAGGTATATAGTATTGGGAATTTTAGCATCTTTTTGGGGGGAAAAGTTTGAGGATTACAAAAATCAAATTGTCGGATTTTGATGAAAATTTCAGGACATTCAACAAATGAATTAAATTTTAAAAGTTTAAATTTTTTCCCTCCCCAATTTTCCAAAAAGTATTTTATTTTTATTTTACATTCTGATGGCAGGTGGCTAAAAAGTAAAAAAGGCGCTAAAATCAACAATTTCAAAATAAAAAAACTTGTCCCAATCAATTAGCTTGAAATTAAATCTAAAAAGCTTTAAAGATTTCATTTTTAAAAATTCATTTGAAACTTTTACAAAGAAATATTCAATTTACCGTTTGATACTTAAAAGGGGATTCAGAAGAAAAAGATATTGCTATGAAATCGATTTGTATATACACAAAAATGAAAATCAACTTACTTGAAGATTCGAAGACAAAAGTTACTGTATCGGCATTGTCTTCAGCTTTGATGGTGATACTATCGTCATTGCAGGCACATTTTAAAATTTTGCACATGCTAAAATGAATAAATTTTTATAAAAAGTTACACCTAGATTAAAATAAATTGGATACGAAAAAAAATTACTTATTTGTGCTGTAAAAATCTAATAAACTTTTCAGATGACATTAAAAGCAAAATCAACTAATTCGAAGGTTGTTTACATTTCGCATTAAAAATAAAAGACAACAGTAACAACACAAAGAACGAATTATTGAACTATTTACAAATCAAAAATATTTTCTAAATCTTTCCTCTAAGAAAATCTGTTAAATTTTAGTCAGTTTTAAAAAGAAATAACATTTTACAAATATATATAAAAAGTAACAATTAATATTATCATTTCGATGATACTGATTTTGAATATTAATAAAATAAAGTTTCGATCCAAAAACGGAACTTAAGTGGCAATGACAACCCCCACCCCCGACAGATGTTTGATCATTTGAGATTTTAGAAAGCAAGTTGGGCCGGGCAATTTCAAAAGATTGACATTTCTACTTTATAAATCCAGAACCATATGAATTATGTAATTTTAATGAGTGGTAATAAACCCCCATTAAAAAGAACGTAATTAGTTTTTTTTTAGAGTTAGAGACGTAATGATTGCATCAAAGTAATTTTTACACTAGTTTTCATTTGCATAATGGTTAAAAATAGTTTTTTTTTATATACTTTTTTTTAACATGATCCGTAGTGTTTGAAGTTAAAATAGATAACAATCAATATTTATTTGAATTTAAGATCGAAAATATTTTGCTCAGTAACGAGATCGAAGAGATCAGAAAATTTAGTTTATCAGCCTGTATATTAAAAAAAGATTTTTTTTAACATGTTTGGAAATAAAGTTACTCTATGGTATATAAATAGAAAATAAATATTAAATGAAAAGTTATTTAAATCTTTTAAAGTCAATGTTGGTGTTAAAATTTCACATTAACAGTGACGCAAGAAATACTTAGTGACTAAAATAAAACAGATTTTACACTGGTACTACGTTATATATAAAAAAAAATTAATATACTTTTGCGTTGAACCCAAAGGTATTTTAATTTTTTTAATGCCATCAAAGACGGGACAGAAATTTTAAGACTAAGTTAAGCAAAAGTTTAATAGTGAAAAAATACGTTTTATCATAAATTATCAACAAAATTTGATAATCTGTAAAAAGAAATGGAGTTCCTAAAATTAAGAAAGTGAAGATGACCGCCAAATAACAAGTAACTTTATACACCTGAGGAATATTAACACTGAAAAATTGAAAACAAAAGATTCGGTCAGAAAGTTGTATGCCTTCCACATATAACCATTATGAAATATCGCGGGACTTTTGTTTGAAGCCAGGATGTTCATTCTCAGAATGGAGGGAAAAAAATCTAGATTTTTATACTAGCTAGACATGACGTAGGCTAAAATCTTTTGTTTTTATTCACAGTTATATTTGGTTTGATCGTTCAATAAAAATTTATTATAAAATGATCAAATAAAAAAGACTTGAAGACTTGGCGGGAATTGCATGAACTATAATCCCCCACCCTAACCCAAACCAACAGTGAAAAAAAAATCGCTGCATTTAAGTTAAAACTATTTTCATTTACTTTTTTTAAGTGGGAATTAAATTTTAGAAGAACGATTCCATCAACTTTTCTCACTTTTTCTTTAAGATGAATAAAAAAAGAAATTCTTATCGAGATTGTTTAAAACTGCTTTACACGCGGCAAACTTATGATGTATAATTTATGAACTTAAATGTATAAAAATAACTTTTAAAGTTCACATTAATATTTTTCTCAGTTTCTAATTAAAGCAAACCTTTTCTGATTGATCTTACCTGGGAAGGTTCATGCCCATTGAAAGATTTCTATCACATCTGTATGTATCGAAGCCATCAGCACGCAACAAGAGAGAAACTAAACTAACATGCGATGAGTCCATGGCTTGTAGGCTCATTCCCGTCGAATTGCAATCCCATGGAACTTCGTTCAAAAGATCTTTCAAAGCTTCAAGAACTTTCTTGAAAAGAGAACCTTGGACAAGTCTGGCCTCAAACATTTTCACTGAGTTGCAAACGTTAAGAAATTATGATAGTTAATGGAAGATGAAAATTCAAGATCTACTCTCTTGATCGTCTCGCGCCAGACTAAAGCAATCTCGCGCCAAACCAAAGAAAATTGGATTTGTCAGTCTCGTTCTCTCGAGAAAAAGTCAGCTGACCCTTACGAGAATCGGCGAGACCAGCTGACTAGGGAAGTAATATCTGCAGCGAAAAAAAAAAGAAATATGGATGCTGATCTATGTTATTTTTAAGATACTAAGAAAAAGTAAGTATTTTTTTTTTATATTAGTGTCATTCATTTCTATTTATGTTTTTATGTTAAGATCTGCATTTTGATATTTATGGAAAACTTATATAATAAAAACAGTGTCAAGTACTGTAATACGTAATATTTAAAAGTTCTTTTCAAATTACAATTGAATAATCACACAACACTAAACACTACTAACAGCAATAACACATTTTTCAATCTAATTTGTACGTTCGTTAAAAGGATAGTCTTGTTCGCTTTATTAGCATCAATAACCTTTGCAAATAAGTCCGGAATTATGATTACTAAAATTCCATTATTACAGACGTATTTCTATTTTAGAAAATATGTTACAGCGAAAATCTCTAAGTTGACAACTAAAAATGCAGACGACGTTTTTGTTTTTATTTCTATCTTGTAACTTTTCTCGATAAAACTGTTTTAACATCGGTTATATTTTTGCTTCAAGCAAAATTAATAATATTCCCAACAAAAATATTGTCCCGATTCAATCAATTATTCGATGAGAATAATTTCATTAATGATAAAATTACTTTGAATTGAATCAACAAAATTAAAAACATACACTGAAAATTTAGAAAAGAATGTTTAGTGATTAAAGTTAATGCTTTACACCACTTTTTCGTAAATTATTTTCTTTTAACATTCCTAATTAAAAATAGATTTTTTGTCATTTTCGAAAATGTCATCATTCATTAAGTATTCAGATTTTACATCTGCTAAAAAAAAAAAACTTATAGTAAAAATACAACATGAATCGGTTTTGTTTTTTAAACCAATCATTCATTACCCTTTTATGGTTAATGGGCCTTTTTAGATACATATTTTTCTCGAAAAATGTGTTTTTATTTACTATTTGTGAATTAAAACATTCATTTCTGTTTAATAATAATGTTAAAAAAACGTTTTATAGTAATCGATGTCAATTGAGAAAACCATTTTTTTGGTTAACGATTAATCTGCCAAAAACTTATCTGTAAGCAGTAGGAGAGAATTGTCTTATAAGTGGATAAGTACCTATCTCACCTGCTCGTAGTAGTTATTTTAAGATACATACTAACCTAAAAACATTACCACCTTTTTGATGAGATGCACTAAATGCTATTATGGTTGTGGATCGTATCTGTTTACAAAAGAATTAACACATCTTCATGAGATTGCAACATAAACATGTCTCTTGTTTAAATATAGAACAAATTATAAAAGTAAATGCTTTCTTTTCTTTTTTTTTCTTTTTCTTTTTTTTTTTTTTAAACTTGAATTGAGTTCCTAACAATGGTGGAGCTATTTAATAAAATGAGATATACCTTATGAAACGATTTTCTAGGTACCATCAAAAATAATATGGATGCTTTTCTTTTCTCTAAAAATTAAAGCAAAAAATTGTTACCCTCTGTTCTAAAATATTTGCCAAAAATCAAGAAATTATCCAATTTAAACGAAATTTTCAACAATTTTTTTTTAATTAAATTATCTTTTTTAAGGAAATATTTTGGAGGGTGTATATTCTCACCCCACTCCTTTCCAACATCTCGTGTGTGTGTGTTGTGTATTATACTTTTCGATTTGGGTGTTGTGTTCGTCTCATTTTTTTTCTACAGTTTTTTAAGAAAAATCCCTGAAGATATTATTTCTGTAAAAACAAAAAAAAAATATGCACGTACAGAAAATAGTTAAAAAAAAAAAAAAAATTCACTTCTTATCAAAAATAATTCAATAAAACTCAAAAGTCAAACAAAAGCTTTTTGAAAATTCAATTCTTGCTGCTTCTTGCATAATTTAAAAACCGGTTTATTTTCTTTCAGATTGGACAAAAAATCTAGTTCACATTTATTTACTATTTATTTAAAAAAAAAATACTTGTTGTTATTCAGTTCGATTTTAAATTGAATTCCGTTATTGTTCGTCACAATAAAAACAGTTTGAAGAATCAAAAAAATGTAAAGTTTAATGAAATGAATGCTATTTTCGGGTGTGAACCTTTTTTTTAAAAGAATTATAACTTTTTTCCGTTTTAGTAACTTATGGGTTGTATATACAAAAACTAAAAGGAATTTGATAATAATTCGCTTTGTTGACTGACTACCAGTCTATTCAATATCAGAAGCTGAAAAGAGTATTTATGAATTAATAATCTAATTTCATATCTCTTGTTCAGTCAATTTTTGTGTCTTGAAAACACTGTTTTCAGATTCATCATCGGTACTGATGTTTTTCTGAATTTATTATTTTCGCGTGTCTCTCTATTCCGACATTTGTTTGTTACTTTCTTTACAGTACACTATTTTTGTATATACAAGAATAACCAATACTTACTTAAGTAAATTAAAAAACATAAGTTATTTTAAGTTTTTATTATTTAAAAAACAAGTCTTTGTCTTATTTTTTTCTCTATAATTTTTTGTTGCTTCGCCATCAAAAAATCTTCAGAATTACGACGAAACTAAGTAACTATTTCATTCGCACGAAAAAGAATACATTTTTTTTCTACTTTTACTTTTTACTTACTATAAGTAATTTTTCTTACTCTGACAATAATAATGATGTGACAATGTTTTTCTTTTCACATAAATCCAACTAATAATGCAAATTACATTACATTTTTTGTTTTGATAGCGCCTTTGATCCCTTCAGATTTATTCATTATGTTTTTTTAATAAAAGTCTATAGAATAAAAAAAATATTAAAATATTGGTTAAAGAAAATTTATTTTTATACATAAATAACATTATTGCAATGATGGTCTCTAGTATTTCTATAGGTTTTTAAATTTTATTTTTACTTTTTTACGCTTTTTTCGGACAGGGATTGTTTTTCTCTATTGTCCTTTAACTTCACAGGCTACTGTGTGTAAATAAAAAAAATATTTTCATTATGTTTTACTTTTAAGTAAAAAAAAAAAAAAAGCATTACGTCTTAAATTTGAAACGCATCAGTTTTAAAACTTGAGGTGGCCCGAAATAAGGTAATTTTGATAAGTTAGGAAAATTCGGTAACTATGAAGTAAAAAAAAAAAAAAATCGATTGAATAATCGATTTTCGGGTCGTTCTGGTGTGGGGAAATGAAATAGAAATGAGGCTCCGCTATTAATTAGTGTTTTTGGTTCTTTAAAAAAAAAAAAAAGTAAAAACTTATTTACTACTTTTTCTGTTAAAATAATAATTTGAAAAGATGCTACACAGGAACTTGGTTTAAATCGATTTTATTTTGATTGAAAAACAATAGAGTAATTAAATACCTAAGGAATTTTGAAGGGTTGGCTTGTGACCCCCTCCCCAAGAAAGTACAGCCCTGGTATTATTGCAGTGGGGTTTTATCTAGACTGGAACCCATGACTTTTTTAGTTAATAAATACTTATTTAACGTGGGGTGGGGGCTATTCCCCTCCGGAAAGTACGTCCCTGGTATTGTTGTAGTGGGGTTTTTTTATCCATAATAATACTTTTTAAAAAATATTATTAGGAAAAGAGGCCTAGCCCCCAAGTACCCCCGCCTTCTGCAAGTGAGGCCCTGGTATTGTTGTAGTGGGGTTTTATCTGGACCCCACGATTTTCACACACACACATACACCATCCCCACACGGGAACGGCCCTAAAATCAATTTTTTCAATCGACTTTTATTTCAGAGTTACCGAATTTTACGTTACCGAATTGTCCTAAATTCCGATGACTGACTAGAAAGATGCACCAATGTTTTAAAAATACCTAGCAAAATTATTTATGTACGGAAATTAATTTATCTTAATTCAGATTTTAGGCCATTATCTTTCAAGCGTCCTGGGTGTGACGATAAACTACATCCGCGTCCAGGGTAAGGCCTCTGATTCGGAGATTTTGGTGGTAGCACCTGTTAGTGTCCCAGCTATGGGAAAATAGTTAACCTCGAAACTGGGCTAAAAAACACTATGAAAGTGTAAAAATAGGTTTTAATAAATACCAGAAATACTTTGTAAAAAATTATTATCAGCAATAAATTTTTGGAGAAAAAATATTACCAACAATACGATTTTGAAAAAAACATATTACCAGCAGTACATTTTGGGAAAAAAATTATTACCAGCTATACATTTTTTTTTTTTTTTTTTTTTTTTTTTTGAAAAAAAATTATACCAGAAATAGACTTTTGACAAAAATTACGAGCAATAAAAATTTTGTCAGCATTATTGAGGCTGATATGCCGTGAAACAAACCAAACCAAGTGAGTAATTTAAAAAAAAAAAAACTTTTTACGAAAATAAAACCATCTAAGATTGTTAATTTTCTAAAAGAAGTTGGATTGTACTAAAAAATATGAGTAATTGAAAAATGTTTATGTACCTTTTTTTTTTACCAAACTGTCGGTATGAATCTATTTTAAAATTTTGTTGGCATTTAATTAAATGACCCACTGAGGTTGATATGCCATAAAACAAAACAACCAACCAACCATTATCTTTCAAATAAACTCGAAATTTAAGTTCAAAGAAAACATTTAAATTATATCAAAATATTTTTTTTCTTTTGGTTTTTATTTTATTTAATATCTCGATAAAGCCATTTTATAATCCTAAGAAAGCAAATTAAAACAAATTTTTTTCTAGGTAAGGTGTCAATTTTTATTGGTTCTGTGATAATTTTAATTTACTTTTTTGTTAATTTTAATCAAATGCTATATCACGACAAATGTAAATGGAAAAAATTATACCTAGAGACGTTAGCTTTTTAACAGTTCCATGACCCCTGTAGAATGCATGACATACCCTTTCAGTAGTGTGGAGACTGGAGGGAAGCTATTCACTGAATATTAGAGAGGTGCCTAATAAATTAAAAATTTATTGGTAGTTTTCTAATATTTTCTCAACAGACGTCTTTGTAAGTAAGGCTATATATATATATATATATATATATATTCAAAGTACCTAAAATTCAACAAAATAATTGCTTAAAATATTTTCTTAAATTTTTAACATTATTAGTTAAAATATATATAAAAAGGTGTTCACGTTGTATCAAAGTAATTTTTAGAGTTCTGTCCCCTTCAATAAATTTCCAAATCATGATTTTCTGCGATAAACTAAAAAGTTTTGTTTTTTGTTTCGATTCAGTTTAATTAAAATTTTTATCCACTAATTTGCCTCAAATAACATTTCAGAAAGTACATTTTATTTTTGAAAGATTTTTTTTTTTTTTTTTTTTTTTTTTTTAATAAAGAGAATTATCTTGTTGACAGATCTGATAATATGAATGAATTTTTATAATAAAGACTACTGATAAGTAGAGAAAAAATCCAATCACTTAAATTCAATTTGAAATACACCAAAGTACTTTGCTTCTTGGGAATATTAAATTTAATCTGTTGGGTTGGGGTTAAAACTAAAATCAATACTTCAAGAAAAAAAATTTCATTTAAAAAAAAAAAAAAAAAAAAAAAAAAAAATTCATTTTAAACTTGGGTGTTGCTTTTTTTTTTCTTTGAGGTACCTACATAAATGGAAGATGCTATAATGCAGCATGCACCAAATTGCAATATTATTTCTCTTTCAGACATATTGAGACCATAAACGTGCCAATTTTCAATCAGGCACGATATAAAATCATGCTCATAACAGTAACCATAAAGCATACTTAATTTGAGATAATCAGATTTTTTAAAATACCCAAGTGTACAGACAACAAATTTATGCTTATGATAATGCACACCAAGTTCATAATGTCTGTTATGGATCTGGGGTTTGTTCACAATGAGGGCAATTTCATATCACCTTATTTATTCCAGCAAGGTCTCGGGGTCACTGCCACTGCCTGGATCAAAGGAAGTTGCTGTACATGTTCCAACAAGACTCTGCACCTTTCTACATGACTTAGGAGTGGCTGGCCAAGAACTTTCACTATGTCATTTCCACCTCTCCTAATTTGAATCTCTTGGATAACTATGCCTGGGATGACTTTAAATAGAAGATGAAGTAGCATCTTTACAATACCAAGGACTCGTTGAAAACTCATCATGGGCATGATGACCAACATGAACACAAATCACCTAATCCAGGCAGGCAGTCCCTCCAGAGACTTCATTGAGGCTATTTTCAAAACTGAAAGCAATTTTATTAAATAACCATTTCTGTTTTTCTAAGTTGAACTTGTATAAAATTTCTTTTGAAAATATACTGATATTTTCTATTGAATATCTTAGTTTTTCTTTATCTTTGTTCTCAGTTAGATCATTCCTGTCAGATTGCAGAAGTAAATCATTTAAAGAAGAATAAGTTTTAAAATCTGTGAGGCTGCCAAAATGGCAGTTAAAATGTAAGAGACAAAGCAAAAGGATCTGGTTACCTCAACTCCAATCTGCTTATGATTCACATTGTCTTTCTCTTTCAGTTTAAAGAAATTGCTTATCACTTATTAAACCTCTTGAAAAAGCTTCATAAAGAATAAAAGTTAATTTAAGCACTTTGCCTATAAACATTTAGAATTAACAATGAAAAATTTTAAGGTATATATTGCATCAAAATATATTTTCCCATTCACCTTTTATTAATACTTCAACAGGTCTTGACAAATCTAAGATTATTCATTATCTCCTGTTACCCTTTGCTAGTATCTTCTCATTCTTTCCCTTATCTCTTCCAACCTCCACTGGCCATCTGTTTTTATTAAAATGTTATACAAATATGGTTTAATTTCATTATTTTGTTGAAAAGAGATCGGAATGCACAAATCTTTCCTTTTGCATCCTCTTTTATCTTTCTTTAGCTCTATCTCTTCATTTCTATCTACCTTTTAATCTTTTGCTCATTGTTTTTTTTTTTTTTTATATCAAGAGCGTCTTTATTTTTCATCTCAATCCCTTCCTTCTTTCTATATAGTTATATGAAATAGATGTCATATTTAGAGAATTTAAAAAATAATCCACACATGAAAGTGAATATCAAAATAAATTTGGAGAACTAAGACAAATATCATTGCTAGAGAACAATTTATACAGATCCAAAGCTTCAAATAAAACAGGATCTGCTGACACAAATGGTTCTAACAAAAAGCAAATAAAACTGATGATATTTCCATTTTTACAGCAGAACTCCAGACTATGAGGATGGCCTTAGTTCTTATAAGGAGCTCAATAGAGCAGCAGTTTGTGATATTTACAGACTCCATATCCACTCTGGCTGCCCTAAAAGGAAAAGCAACTAACCACCCTTACATTGCAGACATGCTGGAGACTTATGACAACCTGGTGAAATTACAAAAATCCACTCTTTTAGCATGGATATCAGGCCATGGTATAAAGGGTAATAAACAAGTAGATGAACTAGCATTAAAACTTGTAATGTGGAAATAACTAATATAAAAATTCCATATACAGATTTTAAAAAGAAAATCCATGACTTTATAGAAAGCAAATGGAAAGCAATATAGGACACATTCCCAGAAAAGAAACTTTGCAAATACCAACCAACATCAAGCAGGAAAACACAAAACTACTAAAAGGGGCAAAGAGAGGACACTGTGTTGACTGGAGTTTGTATTGGATATACAAGACTAACTTAAAAACTGAAGAATCAATTTAAAATGAATTGTAACTCCCAAACTGAGCCCCTCCAACTATTGGAACTGTTGGTTGGTATAAAATGACCCATCAAGGTTGACATGCCGTCAAACAAAATCTTACCAATTTATGTAGGTATATACAAGTCAGTAATTTATCTGGTAGAAAAAGTTTTCAGCTGCAAAAAACTATTTTTCTGTATAGGAAATAATACATTGGTTACATATTTTTGCCAGTCATAAAGAACCACCTGTATACTATGTTTGTAAAAAAAAAAAAAATCTGGGCCAGTAGAAAGTGTTTGGAAAACATCTGCATAGTTCATCTTTCATTGGCCTGATCAGATGAAAGATGAAAACCATCACATCTAGACTGTTCAGCAGATATGGGACAGTCAAACTAAAATTTGAAACCTGATCCATGATCTTCAAACTAGTGTGCAGCCTATGTTATTGTGTTGCAAGGAAGAGTTTCTTCTTTGGCCTGAAACTGAGTAATTCTGGCCTTTGGCTTATTCAGCATCATATTTTAATAACTGTTTATTACATTTACCTGTATACACCGTCCTCTGATTATAATCTACTGATTTGTACAGATCAGCTCATCAGCATGCACTTTTTCATAGTTTAATGACTGCAATGTTGCTCAGAATGTGGATCATTACACACATATTGCAGTTGCTACTGCTGAAGCACTTTACCCACTGCCTGACTGTGCCCACATTTACTGTTTGATATCTGTAGACATTAAGCAAGTGTCAATGAATATCACTGGGTGTAATTTTTCCCAAATTGATGAATTTAATGATACAGTTTTGCTTTGTATGCACTTTCATGTCCTTTTGCAAAACTACTGTTTAAGTGCTATCTATAACAAGACAAAAACAAAATTATGGGCTATTGGTGGGAAGGTTCAATCTATCACCATCTTTCTCTAACACTGTGAACCAACATAATAAAATAGAAGGCATTACTTTCAGAGCAACCCACATATTTCCTTTCATATGGTTTTCTTTGTTTTTGTTTTCTAGCTTTCTAACTGCTTATCTTTTCTCCTTTGCAATATTTTTCCCAATTCCTTTGCACTTGATACATAGATTTCTTATTCAGAAATCATGACTGGTTCCAGCTCAGAAGGATTAAACTAGCACTATACTTTGATCCCTGATAAAAACAACCTGAATAATAATAATAATAATAATAATAATAATAATATAGAATGGATAATAATAATTACCTGCAATCATATTTCTTAGGATTAACATTTATTTTCACCATTCTCAACTATAAATTTGAAAACTGAAGAACTTTTTATAAAGAATAAAATTTACTTGTTTAAAAGCCGTCTCATTAGTTCTGTTTTAGTTGTTGTTTTTAATTAAAAACCTAACAGAGATATTTTTTTTCTTCCAGCATGATGCTACGTGCACTGGGAAAAAAACTGCCCATTAGTGGTCAGTACTGCTACACCTTGGAGCCAGTATGTTGTAGTAAGACCTTAGTATCTGCAAATACCGGTTCCCCCAGTGTACAGGGCCATAGACAGCTCCATCAACAATCTTCAAAAGACTCCACCGGCAAGAAAAATATTTATTTTGCCAAATTACTGAGAGGAGAAGACCATGGCCTATTGAGGAGATGTTTGATTGACAGGAATGCAGTTTTTATACGATCATTAGCTGATAAATCTCTCAAGGTTGTCAATCCTCTTAAAAACTTGCACATTCTCAAGCCATTTGGTGGGAATGTTTCATCTGCCCAGTTTGAGAAGAAACTTGAAGTTGACACAAAAGCTCAGTATTCAGAATTTCCAGTTAAAGAAAAGGCATCAAAAGTAACCATTGCATATTTAATAACTTTGGGTGTACTGGTAGTTGTTTTATTTAATATTATGTAAGTAATTTTGTTTTTGATTCTTTTTTTTATTTTTTTTATTACTATTTCACACCTTAATAAGTCTGTTTGACTACTTCCAACAACAGTAACTATTTCTTATTTTGTGACACTGAAAATAAACTGGTTTTATAATGATCTTTTACTGCACAATTTTTTCTGAATGTAAAAATGTTCAGCTGCATATCTGATCTGGACATTAATGTGTAGGCTAATTATATTGAGAACTAAGTCTTGTCTAAATTTTATCCACTATAACTTGCCCATTAGTAACCATATACTCCACTTTACTATTAAGTGTACAAAATTATCATTATTTCTAAAAACTAGTCATCTGAAAGTAATTTTTGTCTCATCAACAATGCATTTCATTGTGCTATTTTATATCATCTTAAAACAATGGGTAATAAAACCATTGCATCTTGTGACTTAAGTTACTAAAAGCATTATAATAGTTATTCTACTATTACAGTTATGAATAAATCACATTTAAGATTGATATCTTTAAGTGATCTCTACCTTTTGCATATGTTTTTTACTTTCACCACACCAAAGCAATAAAACCACTAAGATGCAAGAGGCTACTAAGTGTTAAAGAATATGAGAAAAATATACTATTATGGAGGGAAGACAATAAAAGAACAAGACAGAAGATAATGATTGACATTGCATTTAAATTTTTGAAGATCAAAGTTGACAGGGAAGGAAGAAGCCAGAAGTGAGTTCCACAAATGCAATAGAAGAAACTGTTAGCATAGAACTCTTGGTTATATCTAGCAATTTCAATTGTAAAGTGATGAGACCTTGCCAACAATCTAGTACTGTGCTAAAGTTCATAAAGTCTAAGTACCACAGAGGAATGTTCACCAGAACAATTACCATGAAAGTGTTTATAGAAAAGGCACAGGAAAGCTACATTACAGCGGTGGTAAAGTGACTGAAGCCAAGATACCAGGTCAGGATCAATAACAGTGCAGGTCCTTCTTTGGATTTTATCAAGAATTTCTAAATATATAGCAGGAGCACCAGACCAGATGTGGCAGCAATATTGTCAATGTACAAAGATAGTAGTAAAATAATGTTTCATTAAGTACTTATTCTTTGGATAAATTTAATGTTAGTCTCTTAATTTAAAGATAATCATAATTATCAAGTTTATCCATAAGCTGCAAAGTTATGCATATTTATAAGTAAAACAAGACCACACGTGACCCATTGGGTCAACCTTGTTGTATTACTGTTTACATTTAATTTCATGAAGAGTTTGTGAAAGTAAAGATATTTTAAAAATACATTTATTTGCAGTTATTGAAGTTGCTTTCAACATTAAAAAAATGTCTGTTTGAAGAAAGTTGAAATAAAAATATTTAAAATATTGTTTGTTTAAAGAAAGCTGAACTATAGATATGCACGCAGTCATGGGAAGGTGGAAAGAGAGAGCATTTTTTCCTCCATTTCCTTCTCTCCCCCTGCATCCTACATGATAATAAATTTATCTTTCTTTCACCACTCTCTCTCTCTATCTATATATATATATATATATATATATATATATATATATATATATATATTTTCTGGTAAACACACAAGCAATGTTCAGACTTTTATAGTAATAAAGATGTTGAAACTGATTCATTCATTGATTAGCAGTGTGTGTGTATATATATATATATATATATATATATATATATATATATATATATATATATATATATATATCTTATTTTTATAGATACAAATATTTAAGTGAATGCTCTGTTTATAATAAACAGTATTAACTACATTTACCTGCCTGAATGCCCAAGAAATTTCATAGAGAATATGTGTCCTCCAGCAGGAATCGAACCTGTATCCTTCATGGAACTGTCATTTGGCCTGACATGCTATAACATTTAGCTACAGTGGAAGTGTCTGGTTAGCAAAGTCAAACATTTTATTTCAACTTGTTGAGAACAGAGACAACCACTGTACTTTGCTTTAATCAACCCCACAAGCATGGACAGTTTGTTCAAGATACTTGACAGAATCACTTGTCTTCCGAGACTCCTCAAGATTGTTCAGTTGTTTCGTGCAGATATGAAGGGTGTCATACAATTTGGTGATTCTTATTCAGAGGTTTTTAAAATACACAGTGGTGTGTAGCAGGGTTGTGTGCTTTCACATAGTTTATTCAGCATCTTCTTTTTGGTCATGCTGACACATGCATTTCGGGGCTTCAGCTGAAACCGATGGCATCTACTTGCGCACAAGAAAAAACAGTATGGCTATTCAGTTTCTCAGTTGAGAGTGAAATCCAAAGTCCATGAGGTGCTCATTAAAGACCTGATGTTCACAGATGATGCAGCACTAGCAGCAAACTTTGCAGAGCAACTGCAGTAACTCGTGAACAATTTTTCAAAAGCCAGTCTTGTTCAGTCTAAACATCAGTCTGAAGAAAACCAACATGATGGGCCAAGGTGTTGAACAGCTTTCTGACATCAAAATTAACAACTACAACTTGGAGGTAGTTCATGAATTCATATATTTTGGCTCTATTGTTTTTTGACACCCTCTCCTTAGACACAGAGGCCAACAGGTGGATCGGACGAGCTGCCATCACATTTTCCAGGGTAACCTCAAGAGTCTATGAGAATAGAAAGCTTACTATGAACACCAAAATTGCAGCCTATAGTGTGTTGCTCTATGGCAGCAAGACTTGGAGCCTCTGCTCCACACAGGAGAGACACCTTAGCACCTTTCACCTTTGCTGTCTGAGACACATTCTGGACATCAATTGGTCCGACCAGGTCACCAATGCTGTAGTTCTCACCTGTACCCCTCTCCAACAGTGCTGGCTAGGACATGTATACCATATGCTGGACGGGAAAATTCCAAACGTCCCTCTGTATGGGGAACTGACCACCAGCATTAGGGCAACCTCATCTTAGCTTCAAAGAGATCTGCAAAAGGAACATGAGGGCAATGGACATTGAGAGGTGGGAAGACATTGCAAATGATTTTGCTCATGCTGGAGATGTGATTTACACCAAAGACTGGAGTGAGGAGAAATGAAGGCTTGCCACCAGGCAAGAAAACAACACAGCAACATCAAAGGAGAGCGTCTTCACATTCACTCATTGCAGTCAAAACTGTCACTCCTGTGTGGGTCTGTACAACCATAACAGATGCTTCACCACCATCAGCAGCTGAGGCATAACTCTTTGGGTGTAGATCCAAAGTTTATCGAGATCAACAGATGCCATACATATGGCCAGCTACTCTAGTTTTCTGAGCCTGTCCGTCTGCTAGGGTGGCTAGGTGATCCCTGTTGCAAACACCTGCTCAGGCACATTTGTGTTTGTTCAACACCAACAAAGCCCACCTGTAGTTTATACTGCAACTATACTGAGCAGACAAATTACAGTTTCTAAGGGAGAGTGCATAATCTGGAATGGTCAGCAGTTTGAACAACACATGTAAGTTCAAACCCTTGGTCATGATGACTTGTGACTTCACACTAGTACAACCATCAACAGCTTCCATATAGTTCTGTCTACCCAATTACATTCACAAGACTTACGTCAACCTTCTATATGGTTTTCAACCACTTCCCAAAGGTGATGTATGCTGGAATTGTCTTCCCAGACTGATAATATCAGTCCTGGTGAATAAGCCATGGTGAGATTCAAACCCAGGTCTCGTATTTAAAAAGCAAATGTTCTAACCAGTCAGACTCCACCCCCTACACACACACACACACACACAACAAAAAAAATATTGTTTTTGTTTATCTTATTACAAACATACCAAACATGTACCTTACTAAATGATTCCCACCAATATACCAGTCACTTGGAATACAGCAGTTCTATTGTTTGCACCTTTATTTATATATATATATATATATATATATATACACACACACACACACACACACACACACACACACACACACACAGTGTCTATGACCCCTTGCATGAGGAATGGTCTGAGGTAGCTGCCACCTACACAAATGCATGTAATTATTCATTGAATGAAACACCCACATATATAATTTTACTTTATTTACTTATTTTAAAAAAATTTTTTCCCCTCTTAGGGTTTAACTGGCTAAATAAGAACTAGCTGATGTGCCTACATTTGCTAACAAGCTCTGGTCATTTGTTGAGGTAACATTTCTTGTTCTGGAAATGTTATAATTCTAAATTTTTCCTGCAAGCATAGATCACATAATTTTGATGTCGCTTTTGGAGCTTGCACTGTTTTTAGAATTTCCCATTCAACTACAGGAGATTCACCTGTTTTGTTCTTTTTTGCCCATACATATTTAGACAGTAATATAATATTTATATGATTATAAAATCTTTCTCCAGGGATGTTCTGTAGCTCCTAAATAGGCTTTGTTATATTTGCCATACAACTTGACGGCTGCTGTTTGTGTGTATAATTTTATTTTTTTTGGACATTTACATCTACAATTGCAAGAGAGGAGAGTATTAACACCCATCTTCCACACCATTTCATAACTATATTTCTTTACTAACTGCTTCATCTTGTCTGCAACTGTAACTCAATTTTACTGAGTTTCTATTAAATATTTTGGTCTGCATATTTCCTTTTGAAAAGTGTTTATCAATTAAATTAATGAATACTCTCTCTACTCTAGGTTTTAAAGTGTATTTGAACCAGATTACATTCTTTTTCCTTCTTCAATCATTTTAACTATTTGTCTTCTTCTCATTAATGTATGATAGATTGAAATAGTACCCATTACTTTCTAGTACCCTTTCATAATCTTTTTTCTGAATTATTGAAGATTGGGCAATTACTAAAATTTACAGAAAATCATTTTTTGTATACATTTGAGCATATACCTAAAGACAAGAGATGATTGGAGGCAATATTTATGTAAAATGGGACATTACCTTGTTTTCTGCATGGTGATTGTTATATACTGTACCTATGGACACTAATGGGTATGTTCTAATCCTCATAAATACGTTGGACACTATCATAAGTGGGGGGGGGTAATATACTGCCTAAGTAGTCTACCACTAGCAGTGGTTTACGTATTTCACACTGCTGGCGAGTATTGTATTTTGTTGATGTTATTAAGATTACCATTTCATTTCCAACCTCCGTTTTGGTTATTCCTCATTCAGTAACCCTTTCTAGGTTACAACAGTGATACACATGTGTGATACCTAAGTGACACTTTATTTTATAACTTGAAGGTCTGGAGTTGATGACGATGATGATCCCAGTTTCACAGTCAAGGCTGAGGCACCAGCTGAGGTAACGGGGGATAATTCAGAAACTGAATCGAGTGAAGAAGATGAAGATGACAAGAAAAAGAAAAAGAAGAAAGTTGGTTTCCGTGACAGAAAGGTAAGCTATCAGTTGTCATTTACTGATCTTTAATATTTAAATTTTATTTGTTTTGCAAGAGTATGAGACTCATTGAGCTTCAGTTTCCTTTTTCTTTTCCTCTTCACTCGCTCTAAAACATTTAGCTGTAGTTTGCCATTAATTGCTTAAAAATGTACTGTTCTAAGCTAAAATGTGTTAATCTGGTTGGGTTTAGAAGCAAAAATGGTGTTTCTCTATTATAATTTATGTTTCAACTGTTTAACAAAAATCTTTCACAGGTTGCTTATGATTTTGATTATATTTGACAGGGCAAAATTATATTGTATGCTCTTTTTCTAAAGGTTTAATAGATACGTCTTTTATTTTTAACCTGACATATTTATTACTTCAAATATTTTTTTTTTTTTGTTTTTTTTTTTTTTTGTGGATACCTGTATTTGAGTATACACTCGGTTTTATTTTAAACCCTTATTTCATCAAGCCTGCACACTCAAGAAAATTTATTATAGATGGCATATTTTCATTAATAACTTTTCTCAAGTGTGCAGACTAGTAAACAAAATAAATACTATTTAAAATAAAAATGACATCTACTCAAATAAGGTAATAAATTGTATCTATTTTATTGAATTGCCAATAAATTATGTAGGATCCAGAATAAATTTCATAATCATTTAGATATATCTAGCTGTTAGAGAAACTGGGAAAATTTGTAGATATGTATTCAGGTATGATTTTCTAAAATTAGGATCTCGTTAGTCCATTAAGAGTATTGCATACTCACCTGTATTTTGTATTTGGTTGATGGACACCTAACTGAGATCAATTTTTAATTTATGCGATATTTCTCCTTCACTATTAACTTGTTCAATAACAAAGTATGATAAAGAAATAATCTCACCATTGAATTAAGTGGTTGGATTAAGAAGTCAGTTATGTTGAAAAATGTACTCATTATATAAAACACTTTTTATATTGATATGTCTGTGTGAGTGAGGTGGGTGAATAAAGTTGTATGAGAATCTAATGGGATTATATATATATATATATATATATATATATATATATATATATATATATATAATAAAAATGACAAAAGTGGAAAAAGTTTATTTGTGAAGCTTTTGGACATTTGGTACTTCATTGGGCTAAATTTCTTGTTGGTGAAACTACACATGCACACAAATGAAGGATGATGGGAATTTTAAATTAATTTTTTTTTTTTTTTAAATTTAAAACCAAAACAAACAATTTTACATTCCCAGCATCCTTTGTTCATGTGCATAATGAAGTCCTAAAGGCTGAAAAGCATCACAAGTAAACTTTTCTACTTTGTCATACATTTTTCCCCAATTTTATTCTTTATGTATAAAAAATATATATCGTTATGTCATTTTATTTCTAGTTCAGTACAGGGCCTATATTGATTTTTGTATATAATTATTTATATTATACAATTATTGCTTTTTATTATTTATTATGATGGATAATAAAATGTGTTTTCAGATTATTGAATATGAGAACAGAATCCGAGCATACTCCACCCCAGATAAAATTTTCCGGTATTTTGCTACCCTGAAAGTATTAAATACAATAACATCTGAATATGAAATTTGCATGACCCCAGCTGATTTTGTACGGTCTATCACACCTGGAATCAAGCAGCCTGATGGTAATATTCATGATTTTCTTTGTGTGGTTTTTAATCAGTTCCATTTCTTCTCTCTTATATACAGATATACCAACAATTTTCTGGTATCTTTTTACCAAAACTATCAGGAAAACATTTTTCTAGACTAACTGCAATCAAGTAGATACTAATTTTAAATAAATTTGTGACTTCATATTTTACCAGCAAAGTTAATAATTTTTTATAGGAAAATCTTTGCTTGAAGCTGTATACACTGGCTTTACAGTAACACTTGTATTTCCTTTAGAAGCCATAGTTAAGATTATATGTATACAAAATAATTGTCCAGAGGAGACAAAACTGTGGACCTCCAAATGCTGGTAATATTCACTTTTACAAAAACCCATTGTTTCTTACCATACCAATAAACTCTTTTTAGCTTTTTATTATTATCTCCCCTTTCACCAAGTTAGAAAATTACTCTCTTCAGTCATTATATAATATTTTACTATTTGGGAACATTATATTTTTGTCTTCAACACTTAAAAATTCTCTTACTTCTGTAAGTTTATATTTAATTTCTCACCTGCTATTGAATTGAAGATGCTGAAAAATTTTTGTCCCACCTTATTTTGCAAAATTTTCCCAAATGGACAAACAGAAATTATTTTGCAATCTTTTGGTTTTAACTGAGAACTATTCAGCACCTTGTAATTATTATTAGTATTTAAATGAAGCAAAAACAACAATTAACTTTTTATTTGATTATGCTGCATCTAATATATATATAAAATTATTTTTAATTCTCCACACTGCCAACTCAGTATTTGTGTAACTTCTGTTGTTTAGCAACAATAGTTTTATAACTTAAATCTGTAAAAGTTTGTATTTGCCTCAACATGCACAAGAATTGCACAAGAATTGACATACCAGAAACTCAAATTCTTTATAAAAAAAAAAAAAAAAATGTTACAATAGATCTACACATGCACAATACAACCTTTTGAAACAATTCTTCCCCCACAAAAGTTTAACATTGCTTTATTTTTCATTGAGAACAGACACAGGCATGTCCAAAAATTCCAATTTTTAACATTTTTCTTATGATTCTATTTTGTCTATTAGCATAATAATAATAATAATCCCTTTTTTATTTTCTTTCAAATTTCTTTATTCAGTTTACTATACTAAAAGAGAAGCTAACAGATATAGACTCAGATGTACCAACAAGAGATATGCTTTCCTATATATATATATATATTGTGTGTGTGTGTATTTTGTGTTGACTCTTTTAAAAACTACAAATTTGCAGAAAATAGTATTTTGAATAGTGTACTGTACAAGGTAATTTTGAAAAGTGGATTGAGCCAAGAATCTTTTCAACATAAATGTTAACAAAAATTTTTAATGTTGGTTAAATTTAAATTTTGAGTAGCTTGATATTATGCATAATTATCTTTTGGGTTTTTTTTATATATGTTCTTTTAATTTAATTTTTTTTTTTTTTTTTTTTTTTTTTGTCCCAGGCCTGGGTCTAGATCAGTTCCGCAAGTTTGATCCTAAGGTACGTTTTATTCTCATCAAATCTTTTTTCTCTTGTATCATAAATAGAATGATGAATTGGGATTTGCCAAGCCAGTGTATTTTTTGGTTTTTTTTCTGCCCATTTTATTTTTCTTGTGAATCTTCCTTTCTCCTTGAGAATGATTGAATGCCTGAGCAAATGTTTGAAAATTTCAATTCTTTTACTTCATAAGATATTAGAAAAAGGATATTAACATTACTTTAGTATTTATGCTTTATGTTGTTGCTTTATCAAATATATACATACTTTTTATGCCATTGTATTTGCTTAGTAACATATAAAGTTATAATTATCTAGACATATCTTTATAATTATTTATCTGTATAGTTCTTTGTAATTATTTTCAATTCCAAAAAGTTTTCTAGATACTTTCTCATATATTTGTGTAATCCTATGATTTACTATAAAATGTATAAACTGTTCACTTGTTTACAAATATATACTTGCTTCAAATTATTATAGTTATATACTAATAATTTATTGTATATAATAAATGAAATTGATATTTTCTAGATTTATTTGCTATTATTTTATTAATGTATGTCTCACATCAAATACATTTCAAAGATTTAACTTGTTTTTTGTTTTCTCTTTTTTAATGGGGATAAAATTTATTGTGTACACTAGCTTAAAGTATTTAATGATACAGATTTAGTTCATTAATTTTAAAATATGACAATTTTTTAATATATTTTTCAAACCTCTGCAAAACCAAAATATATTGGCATTGAATTATTTATAATTATATATACTCTCAAGTGTATATGTAACTATATGTATACACATGTGTTTACACACATGCATGCAATATTTATGTTATAAAGAATACAGGGTTCTCATTAAAGCAGTGTATATGGCTCTATTTTGTATTAAATGCTTTTCTTTGCAAGTCATTTTGGTGATTTGTAGAAGAGAACATTCCCTTGTAAAAAAAAAAACAAAATGTTAAAAGTTAACAAAAAATTAATATAAAGCCATTATTGCTGAATAATGTGTGTGAATGTGGATATATGTATAACAATGTATGTCTACATATATATTTTATTCCATAGATATGGTTTTTAATACATTTTTTATCATCTTTGTGATTTTCCTAATTAAAAAATCTAAGTGTTTTCTTTTTGTCATTTTATTTAGGAATTTTTATAATGTAACAATTGCATCTTAAAAATAATTCTTATCCATTTGTTGTAAAATATTTATGCTAAATTCTTTATGTAGTGAAAGGAAAACAATGCAATGGGCTAAGAATGTATCCATTAGTTTCATTCACCCATTTCTAATTAATCTATTATAAATATGAAATTGTTTCTATGAAAGTCACCTAAAATATATCTAACATAAGTAATCCAATATTGGAAACTTTGATATAATGATCTAAATTTGCAAAAACAGTTTACAGCTGCTTCTAGGATATTGAGTAAATAGATTACTGCAAATTTCATTATATATTTTAGAAAGTTATATATTTTTCTTTTTGCTTATATGATAGTGGTATATATTTTTGATTAAAAAGTGATCTAGTGTTCTTTTAATTTTTTGTGTATGAATCTTTTCCAAATTCAATTACTCAAAAAGATGTTTTTCTGAAGTAAAATTTTTATTTTATTTTATTTTTTTTACACTGACTTCATTGAATAAGATATTTACTGCTTTATTCCACTGTTTTCTGCCATTTTTCATGCCATTTCATAATTCCAACCTCTCAACAATTCTTTTCAACAAACAACTTCTTTAATTACTTTTGTAGTCCTTCTGGGATTTGAGATATATATATATATATATATATATATATATATATATATGAGAATTCTGTAGAGACCAAAATAAATGATAATCTACTATCTAATGAATATGGCAGATAAGGGAAACCTTCCTCCAAACTGTAACTACTTTTTTGCCTGGTTTAACAATATCCTGGTGGAATCTTCCACTCATATTCTTAAATAATTCTGAATGTTTTGTTGATTGTTGCTTTCAGTTAGTCTAATTGAGAGGAGTATTTGTTCAAATCCATTGTCTGCTTTTCTGAAAGGAATTCATATATGATTCTCTTCCCATCCTCATATATATATATATATATATATATATATATATATATATATATATATATATATATATATATATATATATAGCGCCTTTTGTTACTGTTATTATTGGGTTATTTTACTTTTACCCAGATCTCCTGTGTTGCACATGTTTTTAAAAAGCAAATTTTCATATAATTTCTTTAAAAAAAAACAACTTTGTAGTGAATTACACATGAAAATAAGGCTCTGTATGTTTTTTGCTTATGTGGAAGCTACACACCAAAGTCACTAATACAAACAAACCACTGCACATAATTTCAGCTCTTGATTTTGAGTATAGTGAATGTCTCTCACGTTCTATAATATTAATTATTCTTAACTGTTTTGATTTGATCATTTTAAACCTTAGTAACTCTACCTAAACAAAGAACATCATTCAACACTAAACTTTATAAATCATTTTTGACACTTCTGTCTGAATTTCCAAAATGAGTAATTATTATTATTATTTACTGATTTATTCAAACTAATGTCCTCATCTTGATTAGAGTCAGTTTCAACTGCTGTACCTTTTTAGCTTTTTTGTCATTTGTTAACATTCTCAGTATTTTCAACCAAACTCTTTCTTCAGTCATTGAGAGTAGACTGTTCTCATTCTGATATCTATACCAGAGGATATATTGCTTATTATGTCCTTGTTATATTAATGCTGCTTATTACTCTGAACAATGAGTATATGGATTTCATTACCTGATCTAGGGACAATGGCTTAGTGGATATGAACATTGGTTAAATTTATGCACTGATGGTTGTAAATAGAATCCCTGGATCAAGCAGTAAAATCTATCTATTCTGGTTCAGTGGAACAGGCAGAAGTTACATCACAAAGACAAATTAATTAATAACAGATAATCCCCTAGCATATGTAGTGAAATGAGAACAGTTTGTACTGTGGATTGAATAAGAATTAAAGATTCTGAGAATATTACTGAATATGACGGCTACTGGAAGAAAGCTGGGACAGTACAGCAGTTGAAGTGTTGTAATTATAACAACCAAAATAAGTACATCTGGTTAAATAAATCGGTGTATAATAACATTTGTGAAATACCTTCTTCATGTACTGCACAAATCTTTTTTTGATGGAGTCAAATATTTACTTCTTTTTTTTTTTTTTTTTAAAAAAAGAAAAAAAAAAGAAACAATATTAGAAAAAAAATCAATAAAATTAATCTTCAAAAAAAAAAAAAAAAGAGCTAATTTTAGCAAATTAAAAAAAGTACAATGAAATGCATTCAAGTGATCTTTTTGAATGAAGTTAAAATTGAATGTTTCTAATGCTATTTAATGGCAAAAAGCAGAAAATACTTTTTAGCCAACTCAGCATAACCATCAAAGGCTACCATGTAATCCCACTACAGAAATGGCAACTGAGACAATAGCTCTAAGCAAGAATTTATGTAAAATCGATATTTATTTGTGAAAATCAAAAATCACTTTTTTTTTATGTACAAAAATGTTGGACACCAATTTTCTTGTATGCAAATCACTAATAAAAATTAAGTGAAGCTTCAAATGATACCTCAATTGAGTCACAATTTTAATCAATTGATCAATAGAAATTTTATCAAAATAACGATATAAGTATATCTATGTACTTTCATATGTAGACACATCATTACTAATTTATAGTTAGTGATGCATTTTTTCCTTGTAGAGATAGATTTGGGAGTTATCTTGTAAGTAATGTCCAAATTTTGGCTGTTTTTTTATTTTATTCTTATAAATTTCTCCTGGTACAAAGCTCGAGAGCCACTCAAAATAGTGGGTTACAATCAAAATAGTAATGCTGAATAAGGTGTGGGATATGAATGGAAGAGAAGTTGTAGGAAATGAAGATTATGTGGTTAAAGAGGAAATATGAAAAATATTCATTAAAAAAGATTCCATCATTATCCTTTCAACTAAACTTCCTAGTAGTATTTTTGTAAATTTCTTTTGGTTTGAAAGTAAAGAATGCAGTTAGAGTATATAGAGATGATTTTATAAATTTCAAAATAAGTAATAATCAGATGGAGCAAGACCTGGAAAATGAGTGTGTGGAATGTTTTCCCAATTAAGGTCTCTGATCTTTTCAGATGTGATTTTTGTTGTATGGAGCTGTGCATTATCATAATGGAACACTACACTTTTGCGATTGATCACACTGAACCACTTTTCCTTCAAAGCAATGTTTAAATACTCTAACTGCTGACAAAAGATGTCTGCTGTAATTGTAACATTGACTTGTAGCAACTGAAAATTGATCTTTTTGCAATACAATCCCACCAAACACTTATCAAAACTTTCCTTTGATGGAGGGCCTTTTTGAATGGTGATTTAGGCCATTTGCCATCACTGTCATTTCCTGTGTTGCTTTATATTATAAACTAGCAGTAGAGCCTAGCGTTGCCTGGGGATGTAACAGTAAGAGATAGATCAAGTATCGACCATCATAAAGACTGAAAAATAAAATTGACAAAGATTATTGTTTAAGGTTGACGGACACGCATGTCTTAATTAGTTTTTTTTGTTTGTTTTTTTTACAAATTGGTCAAACTCAAACAAAACATTGTTTTCAATCGTTATGAGTCTATCGATTGAATAGAATTTTATTATAAACAATTGTCTTGTAAATGGAATTTTTTAAAGCATTCTGAATGTAAAAATAAAGAAAAAAGTGTGCAAAACAATAAGAAACACTACCTGCCCCCCAAAAAGTGAAGTTTTGTTGAAATCGGTTGAAAAATGTAGAAAATCCGATCCCATATATAAACGAACACACACACACACAAACAACCTGGGTTTTATAATAAGTATAACTCGATATGAGTTGTCCCCCTTTCATTCTGGCGACGGAATTGTGTTTTATTGTGTTTTCAAATTGATTTCGTGCAAAAACAATTGTAT